TTTATATTGATAGCCTTACTGAAACAGGACAAACACAGCTGTGTCCTTTTACACAGTAAATTCGGAAAACAGTGAAAACAGAAAAAGACAACGGCTAGAAACGGTAAAACTGAAAGGTTCTAATCACTGCATTCCACGTGTTCCTCTTTGCTCCATCTTCTTCAACGGTGTCGTTTGCTTCATTTTGATGAAGAAGAAAACTCTTCTTCTGTTACCCCCCCCCCCCCCCCAAGCTGGTAGGCTGGGATTCTGGATACCAAGCTTGGAGAGAAGTTCTGTGAATGGACCTGGAGGCAATGCCTTGGTGAGAGTGTCTGCTAATTGGTGATCTGAGCGCACATGGAGCAATTTGATCACATCTGCCTGCACTTTTTCTCGAACAATATGGCAGTCCAACTCTATGTGCTTAGTTCTTTCGTGGAAGGTTACATTTTCTCCAATATGAATCGCTGATTGATTGTCACAGAAAAGTGAGACTGCCTTTTTGTGATCAACCTTGAAGTCCTGCAACAAATACAAAAGCCACTGAACTTCACATGTAGTGTACGCCAATGCCCTGTATTCCGCTTCGCACGAAGAACGCGAGACTGTTGTCTGTTTCTTCGATTTCCAGGATATCAGTGAGCTTCCAAGGAATACACAGTAACCTGTTACTGATCTTCTCGTGTCTGGACAGGTGGCCCAGTCTGAATCACTATAAGCCTTGAGATGAAGATCTGATGCTGATGAAAAGAACAATCCACTTCCTGGTGACTTCTTCAGGTACCTTATGATTCGAAGGACTGCCTTGTGATGTGTCATTCTGGGTGAATGCATGAATTGACTCACCTGTTGAGTTGCGAAGCTGATGTCTGGCCTGCTTGTGGTAAGGTAGATCAACTTTCCCACAAGTCTTCTATACTCTGTAGCATCCACAAGCTCAGATGTGTCCTCAGCACTAAGATGAACTCTGTAGTCCATAGGAGTACTAACTGGTTTGCTGTCCAAAAGACCTGCCTCATCTATGATTTCGAGAGCATACTTTCTCTGAGAGATATGTATTCCTTTCTTTCCTCTAGCTACCTCAATACCAAGGAAAAATTTTAAGACACCAAGGTCTTTGATGCTGAAAGTTTCATGAAGAAAGCTCTTCATCCTGTTTATCTCATCCAAATCGTTCCCCCCCACAATTAAGTCATCGACATAAATGAGAATGGCGGTGAAGGAAGATTCTGTTACCTTGGTGAATAAGGAATGGTCAACAATGCTTTGTGAGTATCCTTGAGATAATAAACAGGAAGATAGCTTCTCAAACCACTGTCGAGAGGCCTGCTTGAGGCCATAAATCGACTTGTGCAACCTGCAGACTGGATTTGGGATAGAGGGATCAACAACCAGACCTTTGGGAAGAGTCATGTAGACCTCTTCATGGAGGTCTCCATGAAGGAAAGAGTTGTTTATGTCCAATTGGTGCAGGTGCCAATTCCTGGCTGAAGCAATAGCAAGGAACAGTCGAACAGTTGTCATTTTCACAACTGGAGCGAATGTATCCTGATAATCCACTCCCTCTTGTTGATTATACCCCTTTGCAACTACTCTAGCCTTCTGTCTCTCAATAGCTCCTGTGGATTTGTATTTGATGCGATAGACCCACTTATTCCCAATGGGAATCTTTCCTGGTGGTAAGCTGCAAACAGTCCAAGTCTTGTTCAAATCAAGGGCATGGAATTCCTGATTCATGGCAGCATTCCATTCTGGATATTGAGATGCCTCTGCATAAGAAGATGGTTCTTTGCTACAAGAAATGGACAATACAAATTTTGTGTGCTGGGAAGTGAACTTGTCATAGCAAATCATGGATAAGAGACCATGTTTCTTACCTGATTCTGCTAATGCAGAACACGCACTTGCTGAAGGTGATTGGCTGTTGCAGCGAGCTAGTAGATAGCAATGGTAATCTTGGAGACGAGAAGGTTGTTTGAGTTGTCTAGAAGGTCTGTGATGGAGGGCAGGGGAAGGGATTTGTGGTGTTGAGGGACTTGGGGACCGAGGAAGTGGTGATTCAGGTTGAGTGTCTGGTTGAGGAGATGGTGGTTCAGGAGATGAGGAAGGTTGTGTGTAATCAGTGTCGAAGGAATCATATGTAGCTGGGGAAATGGATGGAAATGTGGGAGCATCATCCAAATTAGTGGTTGTAGAATCAAAAGGAAACACTGATTCATGAAAAACAACATCTCTTGAGGTTAAAATGTCATGAGTGTCAAGATCATAGAGTTTGTAACCCTTGATCCCTTTTATGAATCCTAAGAAAATACATTTTCTAGATCTGGAAGTGAATTTGGTTCTGGTGCTTGGTCTGGTAGATGCATAGCACAAGCATCCAAAAACTTTGAGAAAAGAGAAATCAGGTTTTTGTTTGTGAAAGAGTTCATATGGTGTCTGGTTTTGCAGAATGGTAGATGGAGTTCTGTTGATTAGAAAAGTGGCATGTTTTACACAGTCTGACCAAAAATCAAGAGGGAGATGGGCCTGAAATTTCAGTGCTCTTGCAACTGCTAATATGTGTTGATGCTTTCGCTCAACTTTGGAGTTTTGTTGGGGAGTTTCAACACATGAAAACTCATGAATGATTCCTTTTTCTTGACAAAATACTGGAATATTAAACTCAAGGCCTTGATCACTACGGATTCTCTTGATTTTGGCAGAAAACTGTGTTTCAACATAGGAACAAAAGGAAAACAATTGCTTCCTGGCTTCTGCTTTAGATGAGAGTAAATGCAGCCAGGTCGTACGACTGTAGTCGTCCACAATAGTAAGAAAATACTTAAATCCATCATAAGAAGGTTGAGGGGTTGGTCCCCAAATATCTACATGGATGAGTTGAAAAGGTTCTGTTGTGTTAAAAACACTCTGTGGAAATGGCAAACGCCTTTGGCGAGCAAAAGAACAGACATCACATGGCTCTGTATGATTGATTTCTATACTAGAGTCTAATCTCTTAAGGTAAGGAACACGAGATTTAGAGATGTGTCCTAGCCTATAATGCCAGAGATCGAACATACTTGCAGTACTAGAGGCTACTACTTTGGAGTGGGGAATGGTATGGAGTCTATGCATCTTGTAGAGACCATTGGACAGCTCAGCAGAACCAATCACCTTCATCAGAGTTGTGTCCTGAATCATACAGAAACAGGAAAAGAAAGTTAGGTAAAGTGAGCTGTTCCTTGTCAAGGTACTCACAGAGATGAGATTGAAATTAAACTCTGGCACCAATAATACATCATCAAGTATCATATCTGGTGAGAATTGAACTTTCCCAATGTGGGTTGCTGTGACTATATTCCCTGTAGGCAAAGAAATTTCTGCTCCTTGAATGGCTACACAGGAGCTGTATAATGATTTGTCACATATCACATGATCCGTTGCTCCTGTGTCAAGGATCCAGACCTCTCCAGTTTTTCCATTGACATTTTGAGGGAGAATGGTAAAACTGCACTTGCTTGTATTGTGACTCTTACTCATGAAGGCAGATGCTGAATGAGGAGTTGTATGTGGCTGATTGGTTGATGTGGATGCCGAGGTAGGTGATGAATTTCCTTGCTGGATCATGTTGAGCAAGTTTGCATACTGCTGCTGTGTAATTCCTTCATGGTTACCAGTGGTCACGAGGTTTGCTTGCCTTGATGCCCCTTGAAACTGACCTCCACCTCTTGCATTTCGTGGTGTCATTCCCTGTGGCCATCCGTGTTTATGATAGCAAGTATCCTCTGTGTGTCCCTGCATTTTGCAGTATGTGCAATAGGGCCTTTTGCTTCCAAAATTAGATCGACCTCTACCTCTGCCCCTGTATGCTGCATTAGTGCTACTTGGATACCAGTCATTCTTGGGTGCCTCTTCTGGCATTTTGAATCCAAGTGACTGTAGTGCTAGTGCAACACTCTCAACCATTTTGCTGCCATCTTGACTACCATAGGTTTGCCTTTCATGTTGAGCCATTCTGTAGTATACCTGGTCCATGGTTGGTAATGGATCTGAAAACAGAACTTGAGACCTAGGTATAGCATAGTTCTCATTGAGGCCCCTTAGGAACTGAATAATCCGATTCATGTTCTGATATCCCTTGATTGTTGCTATAGCTAGACAACCTGTGTGACTAATAGGAGTGCAACTACAATCTGGGACTGGTTGGTAGTTTTTAAGTTCTTCCCATAAAGTAATCAGATGGGTATGATACTCACTAAGGGTTCTGGTGCCTTGCTTGAGGTTAGCGAGCTGTTCTTGTAGCTCTGCTATTCTAACCAAATCACCTTGTGCATACCTTGACTTTAGGGTTTGCCAGACCTCTGTTGCTGTCTTGAGACTCCGAACACTTTTGCTGATGAGTTCATCAACCGACTGGAGAATCCAGCTCTTCACCATGAAATTGCACTGAATCCATGGTCCGTGCAGTCTGTCCATTGCTGCTGGTTCTGGCAGGCTTCCATCAACGAATCCTAACTTGTTCTTGGAGGCTAGGGCATCAATCATTGCCGCACTCCAGTCAGTATAGGTGGTTGATGTGAGCTTCTGAGAGACCAGTGAGTGACCTGGCTGTTCTGAGCCGTGGAGATAGTAAGGATCTGTAAGTGGGTATGTAGCGATGTTGGCGACGGCTCCCGCAGCTGCGTTGGATGCTGCTTCTTCGTCCGCCATTGTTGTGAAGACTCTTAATCAAGCACTGAGAAGTGAGAAGAACAGGGAAAGAACGAAATGAAGAGAGGAAGAAGAGGGTAGCGGCGGTGGGTGTTTGCTGCTTAGGTCTCAGAACCCTAACCAGGCTCTGATACCATATTGAAGATTTAGGGTTTTGGTTTCAATAAATCGAAAAGCTTAACTGCTTCTCTCTTCTTCCTCTGTTTATATTGATAGCCTTACTGAAACAGGACAAACACAGCTGTGTCCTTTTACACAGTAGATTCGGAAAACAGTGAAAACAGAAAAAGACAACGGCTAGAAACGGTAAAACTGAAAGGTTCTAATCACTGCATTCCACGTGTTCCTCTTTGCTCCATCTTCTCAACGGTGTCGTTTGCTTCATTTTGATGAAGAAGAAAACTCTTCTTCTGTTATCTTTTTCCAGATTTTTGCACAGCCTTCGCCTCTCTGAGAAATAACAAGATCCGACCTTTGCATCCTTCAACTGCAACTCCCTAGGTGAGTGGTTCTATGGATGCTTTGGATTTAATTCATTCCGATAATCAGTAATTGAAATTTCTTTTTTTGGTTCAGTGGATCATTGTTCCGTGATTTCTACTCTCTTCGTCGGCTGATTTTCCACCTGGATCTGCTGGAGCTCTCTCTCGGAATAAGCCACGATCAGAACCCTGAGCGACCAGTCCCTTTCTCTCTTCAACGTTGGTGAGCCAGATCTGCCGGTTCGGTGTGATTCTGTTCTCTCTTTTTGGCTCTTTTGTTTTTAGGAAATGTAAATATTGAATCCTTTCGCTTTCCCCTTCCACTTGCAGATTTGCAGCCATGACGACTGATCGATGGTCCGTATACCTGCCAGTGGTGATCAGAACTCCATTCCATCTTTTTTCTTCCCCTTTCTAACCCCCTGTTATCTATCCCAGTTTTCACTTTTCTCATCTGTATTTTATTCACACCTGTGGAGGGTCTTCGTGGATTTTGGTGTACACAATTAGAGAAGGAAGCAGCAGGTTATGGATCTTAGTACGCGATTCCCTGCATCAATTCCTAACAGAACCATTGTTAGGAGCTTCGTTCGGCGCCGCAATCTGTTTCGCTTCTACCCCGAATTCTCTGCAGAATTCTGGAATTGGATTGTCTAACTCTGGAGTTCCTCTCTTCTGGCTGGCTTAGGGTTTGACGTCAGGAGCTTGATTAGGTGGACAGGGGAGGAATCTTCTGATGATGTTGTCGAATCAGTTGCAGAATGGAATGGAGACCGCTAATCTGTTGTGGTCTCGGATACCTAACTCGGAGGGCGGGGAGCTCGATGGAGGGACGCTATTGAGCACCAGCGATGGCGGAAATGTTGAAAGTCTTGATTATGAAGTAATTGAGAACTACGAGTATCGAGAAGAGCAGGTTTGTAGTGAGGTTCGGGGGTGTTTTCATTTTCGAGTGGTTAATTGGGGTTTTTTGTTTTGTTATGATTTCCCTTCCATTGCTTTGGGAATTGCAGGCACAAAGAGGGAAGCTTTACGTTGGATTTATTGTAGTGGTGAAGTGGTTCTTTGCTTTGCTTATTGGAATTGGTAAGTCTTGGTGTTTCTGATCTGGATTGGGCTTTTATGGGCTTGAAGGTCACTGATGCACTCTTCTATTCAATTGTTAGCTCCTACGTTCCCTTTTGGTTTTTCCGTTGTTTCTTCATGGGTAAATATGTAGCATTTCCAGATCACAGTTTAGTGGCATGTTCTGTTGATTTAGCTTCTTAGTTCAATATATCTTCAGCAATTTAGCTCCATTAGTCGATCCCACTAGCCACTAGGCATCTTATTGGATCCAATCCACTTACAGGCCCAATTTAATTCCACCCCAATCCCCATGATGCTGCTACGACCAAACAATTTGCAACGGAGGATAAACCAGAAAGCCCAGCCCAATTCCTCACCCAGTGGCGGACCCAGAAATTTTTCATAGGAGTGTACTCTTTTAAAAAATAAATTAAATAATTAATAAAAATAAAATCGTAAATATGAAAATACCTTACTCGTACAGGTTAAATAAGTCCATGATGTGTTTTCATATTCGAAAATAATTGTAGAATACACTTGGTGTTATAGTGTTAAAAAAATTCTCCATATACCCTACTAGACAATCATTCAGGAACTTATCGCATATTCGATTTGTAAACTTGTTCTTGATGTATCCCAAAGCTGAAAGACTCTTCAACACTTGCCGTACAATCATAAAATCAATACAAATTAAGGGTAGATTGAAATAATTAAAGATAGGGAATGATTTTTTACTATTACACATTGTTCAAAATCGACAACAAATGAGTTGTAGCTCAACGGAAATTAAGTTTATTAATAATAATAGTGTTCTAGATTTGAATTATCCAACCTACCATTTATATTTTTATACACAAATGACAGTAGGATAATCATTTTTTTCAAATTTCTGGGATCTCCCTCACTATCAATTATTATTATTATTTTTTGTCTATACGTAAATTACCACCGGGGGTTGGATAATCATTTTCCCGAAATTTAGGGGTGTCCGGGGACATCCTAAAACCCCCTGGGTCCGCCCCTGTCCATTACCCTACCCAAAATAGTTTGAGTTTTACCCATACTCATACCCACATAAGAAACGGGTAGAAAATCAAAACCATGCCCATACTCGTTCGGGTTTCGGGTATCCACGGTTATCCATGGGTAATAATTTTTCTTCATAACACCAACCAATATGTTAATATTCCCGCGTATTGTCACATGACGTAAAAGGAAAAATACAACAATAATTCACTAGAATTAAGAAAATTAATTAAAATAATACAATTTCATGAAAATACTATATTTATATGCTAAATATTAAATATATTACAGAAAAATAATGATTATTTCTATACAAAATACACATGAATGTGTATAATCGGGTGGGTTCGGGTTGGATAGTAAGAAACCCATGTCCACCTGAAATTGAAATAATGTGTTTCCCAAAAATTGCTACTATTCACTATTCAGCACTATTTGATTCCCCAAATAAAAGCTGATGGAAAGGGAATGGAAAGTAAACACTTTTTCCTGTTTGCATTTCTATTCCACTAGATTGCATTTGATAAGGATATAACTTTTGATTAATTATTTTTGTATTTAATTACTTTCACTTAGTGGTTAGGTCCTCCTACATTACAGCCTACGTGGGATCATGGCTGGGTTTTCTGTTGTACAAATTGGGTATTTATTCCCAAGTCTTCAGCTAATGAAATCACAATATTCTAGCCTTCACATGGTATCAGAGCTGTGTCTCGGATCTCCTTAAACCACTAAACCTCTTCTCTCATTTCCTTAGCCTAATTTTTCGTTTCTTCTGTTCACTCCCAACGTCGGCTGCAAATCCCTACTTTCCTTTCTATTCTTCCTTCCTTTTCTATTCTTCTTTCCTTTCGTTTTCCAAGCCGAATCCCTACTTTCCTTTCTATTCTTCCTCCCTTCCTTTTCTATTCTTCTTTCCTTTCGTTTTCCCAGCCACCACCATGACTCGGAATCTCGGCGAAACAGTGATCAATGTTAATGACACCAATACTATCATCACCCTTAACCCTGCATCTCAATTACCGACCAAACTCAATGGTGATAATTTCCCAACTTGGCGTGCACAACTCCTCACGCTGCTCCGAGGGCTCGATCTTCTCAAATACATTGATGGTACTCACCCTGCTCCAGCTGACACCGCTCCTGCTGCTGAACGGACACTCTGGTTCCGTCAAGATCAATTACTTCTTCATGCTATTCATGCCTCCATGGCCTCGGTGTTGCGCCTTATGTTTCGGCTGCCGTTTCTTCTCATGAAGCCTGGACGATCTTGGAGCGTATGTTTGCGAGCCAATCTCGTCAACGCGTTATTCATCTCAAAGAAAAACTTGGCCGGGAAACTCTTGGCAATCGTCCGATGGCTGCCTATCTTCAGGTGATGCGCACCACGGCGGCCGAGCTTGCTCTCATCAATGATCCTGTGTCCCATGAAGACCTCATTCTGTATGTTCTTCGTGGTCTGCCAGAGCCCTATGATCATCTCTCTGCGGCTATTCGTGCCCGTGACACCACCATCCGCTTTGAAGACCTTCACGATCGTCTGGTTGCCTATGAAGCAGATCTTGCTGCCGTGCGTTTGACTCAGCCTCCAGCTCCCACAACTGCCTTTTCTTCTGTACATGGTTATCCTGGGTCCTCGTCTTCCTCCTTTCGTGGTTCTCCAGGTCCTCGTGGCTATTCTCCGGCCCGCCGCAGTTCAAGTCCACGTTCCTCCCGTGGTAATTCTCGGGCACGTTTTTCTTCCAGTCCTCATGGTAACACCCATGCTCCCTCTCTTTTGGGTCGTCCACAGCTTATCTGCCAATTTTGTGATCGCACTGGTCATACTGCCAAGGATTGTTATCGCCTGCGTGGCCGACCCCAGGTTCATCATACGGTTACTAGCTCTTCAGCTCCAGGCAATTGGCTTGTCGATTCTGCCGCGACCAATCACATGACTCCGGATCTCGGAAATCTTTCTCTCTATACGGACTATAATGGTCCAGACGAGGTTCTTATTGGCGACGGGTCAGGTCTGCATATTTCTCACATTGGTCATGCTTCTTTGCCTTCTTCCGTGTCTCCATTATCTCTTCGAGATGTGCTATGTGTTCCGGCAATGAAACGTCGTCTGTTGTCTGTTGCTCAGTTGTGTAAGACTAATCCTGTGTCGGTTGAATTCTTTGCTGATTTTTTTGTTGTGAAGGATCTAGCCACGGGGGCGCATCTGCTACGAGGCCAGAATAGCGGGGATGTCTATGAGTTACCGGCGGCGGCTGCACCTGTTCGATTAGCTTTGTCTGCTTCTCGCACAACCTCTGTTGTTTGGCATAAGCGTTTGGGTCACCCTCATCTCAAACTTCTTTCCCGTGTTCTACGTAATGAATCTCTCCCTGTTTCATCATTGTCCTCTACTTCTTCATGTGTTTCTTGTTCCCTCCATAAAAGCCATAAATTACCTTTCTCGGTTTCCAGTTTGACTAGTACGAGACCTTTTGATTTGTTATATATGGATGTATGGGGTCCTTCTCCAATTCTTTCGCATGATCGTTTTTCATACTATCTGGTTATTGTGGATCATTTTACGCGCTATACTTGGCTTTATCCACTCTCCCGCAAATCTGATGTTCATCAGGTTTTTACCACCTACAAAGCTATGATCGAAATTTTTTTCCACACAACCATACATCGTGTTTATAGTGATGGTGGTGGTGAATTCCAGAAATTATGCTCATTTCTCCAAACTAATGGCATTACTCACCTTCTCACTCCACCTCATACTCCTCAACACAATGGCCTTGCCGAGAGAAAACACCGTCACATTGTTGAAACAGGTCTCGCACTTCTCCATACTGCCTCTCTTCCTCTATGTTTTTGGTCTCATGCGTTTCAAACTGCCACCTATCTTATCAATCGACTTCCCTCCTCGTCTCTTCACGGTGCCACCCCATATTTCTCTCTTTTCAATAAGTCGCCTAATTACACTAAGCTCCGTGTCTTTGGCTGTGCGTGTTATCCTTGGTTGCGTCCATATTCCCCACACAAATTAGCTCCCCGTTCGCGTCAATGCGTCTTTCTTGGTTATTCACTATCACAAAGTGCTTATTTTTGTTTTGATCCTCTTACTCGCCGACTGTTCACCTCGCGTCATGTTCTCTTCGAGGAACAGCTTTTTCCCGGCGTTCCCTCTGCTTCGGGTCCCTCTTGTGATCCGCCCAGTTGGCTTGCGCTTGCCAGTCCCCCTGTCACCATCCTTTCATTGTCCTCGACTCCCACCCAGCGGGCTCTTCCGTCGCAACATACAGTGGCCGCTCCACCTCATAGACAATCCTCTCTGCCTGCCCAGCCTGCGTCTCCTGTGGCTTCTTCTTCGCCAAATAATCAGCGTCTGCCTCCTCCACCGGCTAAGAATTTACACCGCCCCATTACACGCAGTCAGCATGGAATTTTTCGGCCCAAGCGGCTGTTTATTTCTCAGGTCGATGCGGTTGATTTTGAGCCCACTTTACTCCGCCAGGCCTTAGCTGATCCCAGATGGCGTGCGGCCATGACGGCTGAGTTCCAGGCATTACTTTCAAACAGTACATGGACACTTGTACCCCGACCGGCCGACACTAATATTGTGGGTTCCCGTTTGGTGTTTCGCATCAAACGTAACCCGGATGGTTCTGTTGATCGCTTTAAGGCCCGGTTGGTGGCCAAAGGCTTCACTCTACGTCATGGCATTGATTTCCATGAGACGTACAGTCCGGGCTTGAAAACGGTCACCATCCGTACCGTTTTCACGATTGCTCTCTCTCATCGGTGGCCAATCATGCAATTTGACGTGAATAATGCTTTTCTTCAGGGTTCTTTGCAGGAATCAGTCTACATGGCTCAGCCACCCGGCTTTACTGATCCTCAACATCCCACGCATGTGTGTCGCCTCTCTCGAGCAATCTATGGTCTGCGTCAAGCGCCTCGTTCCTGGTACTTGGAGTTATCTACTTTCCTCTTGCACGAAGGCTTTATCAAGTCGAAGTGTGACGCCTCCTTGTTCATTTATCATCATGGCGGCATCACTCTCTATTTCCTTGTCTACGTCGACGATCTCCTCCTGACGGGTAATGATGCGCGCACCCTTGCTCAATTCCAGGATCGTCTCAGTGCTTGGTTTTCCCTAAAGAGCCTTGGTGTGGTTAATTATTTCCTTGGGATCGAAGTACTGCCCACTACTGCTGGTTATTTGCTGTCCCAGCAGAAATATGTTCATGATCTGCTAAGCCGCTTTGGCATGGAGAATTCCCAGCCAGCGCCCACTCCTCTCGCCTCCACTGCCAAACTGACACTTGTTGATGGCTCTCCACCGGCTGATTCCACTCTTTATAAACAAGCTCTTGGGTCACTACAGTATTTATTATGCACTCGTCCAGATATTGCATTTGCCGTCAACAAATTGTCCCAATTTATGCAGGCACCGACGACTCTTCACTGGCAACATGTCAAGAGGCTACTACGTTATCTCAAAGGCACCTCGTCTCTCGGCCTTTCCCTTGCGTCTTCTCCCTCCTCTGATTTGGTTGCTTTTGCAGACTCTGATTGGGCTGGCAATCCTGACGACCGCACCTCCACCATGGGCTTCCTTGTTTACTATGGTGGCAATCTCATTTCCTGGAAGTCCAAGAAACAGCGATCAGTGGCTCGATCCAGTACGGAGGCCGAATATCGTGCTCTGGCTCATGCT